ACTCATTTGGAAACTTAAACCTTACACTTTAATATAATTTATTTATTTTATGTAATTAGTAACCTAGGTAATTTTATGTAATTGTTAGAAAGAACTCTTTAAGAACATAAATAATGAAATTTATGCAATGCTACCTAAACAAATAATATATTTTAAATATATTTAAAAGTCCATAAACCAGCAACGGTTCACTCTTTGGAGCTTCCGCTGTAAAAAGTATAAACAAAGCAGACCTGGGAACTGACCTAAGGCAATATAAACAATCAGACGGTTTCCCCCCCTTGTGAACTCCCTCCATCATCAACGTCATGAGTCACAACAGAGCACGCGACTTGTTGAAAAGAAACAGCTGAGAAATAGAGAAAAATTTCTGATCACACAAGAGAGAGAGAGAGAATTACAGAGAGAAACCAGGCAAGCAGTTGGGATTTCCAAGCCCCAACAGCTGCAAGCAGTGCGGCGCCGACGATCCAATAAACAAACGCGCAGACGCCAAACCACATTCAGTTTCAATTTGAACGTTGCGCATGCGCCGTGAATAAAAAAAATTTCGCGCACTCCGGCGTTTTGACTTCGCTTTTTTTATAACCGTTTTTCGGTTCGTTTCATTTGTTTGTTACAAATCTTAAACAGTTTCGTTTTTCATTTCAAAAAACAAAAAAGAAAAATACCGCAAAAGACAAATCGTTTAAATTATGAACTGTCAACATTAGTTACTCATTATAAACCCGTTGGGTGTTTGAGAAATATATCGGCATATGAAAGTTAGCCAAAAACGAAAGATTATAATTCTGATGACAAAAATTTGCATACGGTGTATAATGACAAGAAAAAAAAAACCCAAAATAATAAATTGTGAAACTTATGAAAAGTGATGAAGAATAACAAGATCAAAACAATACCCGAAAATAAATATTTTGTGACCCCAGACAAAGCCACAACAAATGACCCTTTCGAATGTATCTAGATCTGTGTCCCAATTTTTGGACTTTATTGTAAATCATACGAGATCTTTACTATAGAGGCTGTAGAAAATATTGCACACTAAACAAAGAAAAATTTATGTTAATTGAGGCTTTCGCAGAACAACAAGTCCCCCGGTGTGGAGATTTCACCCGAAAATAAAAGAAAACCTTTCGTTGACACAACACTTTCGTGAACTGGTTTGCCCACCTATTTGCGCTACAATAAAAAAAAACAAACAGATTAAACTGTTTCTTAAAACAAAAACATTCTTTTTTCTTTGTCCCAACTAATTTATTCAGTCATAAGATAAGAATATAGAAGCCAACGCCCCTCCTTTGCTACCAAAGCACTTTAAATAAAACAAAATATTTTCTATGCTAATTTCGTTTTGGTCGTTGACAACATCAATCCAATTATTTAAATGCTATCTCTGGCGTCTGATAAATACTTTCAGTTTGCTTGACAAATATGCTTCACTAGCCAACCTGAAATACGAGTAATAAACATTTCTAAAAAGCAACAAAAAAAGAAGTGATTGAAACAATGCGGATCCCCAAGGGAAGATTGACCAGCAGCGGTTGGATTCTGTCAATGGCATTTGGTAAGTGGCAAATCTTTAAATTATCCAATCCAAGTTAGTTAGTTAGAATCGAAGGAGAAACCAGTTTGACGACGGTCCCATTTCGCTTTTTTTTTCTGCTGATTGGGTGACTGAACGGGAGCAAGGTCGTTCAAGAGCTGCATTGCCGTTTTGAGTTTACGTACCCAAAAATATTACAGATTATGCAACACACTGGCTGAGAATCCAATCCAACTCCCCTCAAAAATCACAGTTGCTTTACGAAATGTCAACAATTGCGTGCACAATATCTGCGGGGCTTTGACCACCAATTGTCGCTGACGATATGAAAATGAAGTTTAAATACCTGGAGATCCGACAAAAGTCCGAAATCCCAAATACGTGCGCAAAGTTGCATTTATGTATATTTGTGTATTGGAGCGAAAGTACGCAGCGAAACCATCGCGGATTCGCAATGTGTCCTCATCCACGTCCACGTCTGGCACTCGCCGGATAATCCGCACTGTGGATGTCAAATCTCCAATCTTAGCCCGCACTTTATATTTATAAATTCTCTTATTTCTACATTTATTGTCCTGATTCGATTTAAAATAGATTTAAAAGAACAGCTATCAAGCTAAGATAAGGAGTTCTTAACATATAAGGATTCAAATCCTTCGAAAACTATCCTTCAACTACGGTCATACCTTTTTTTAAATAATAGAAGTTCATACTACATCATTATAGAGTCTAAGCATCGAGATCAAATAATAAAATGAATATGGTATTTCAAACATGTAGTTATCTCTTTTTAAAATGTAAAAGAAACTCATAGATTAAATTTTATTGGAATATATTACATAGTCATAGCTGCATAAGGAAATATTTTATGTATTTTTAACGTGTTTTCTGTAGAAGTGATCTATTGTCATAATACTCTTATTTATTATAAGGATTAATGACCCCACATATAATTTCTATTTAGAGAATAAGTCGTTCTCGAGTCCTTATCTTCATACAGTGTCATATCTGCATTATATATTTTTAAGGATTTTAATCATATTCTCCACTTGTAGAAATAATATATTATTATTATATTTATTTGTTATTTCAATTTCCGTAGACACTAAGTATTATGTGAATGACACTTAAAAGGAGACCTGCTACTACGGTCATACCTATTTAATAGGAAATTGTCATAACCTTAAGAAGCATTTTAAAGATCTAAAACGTATTACCCAACCCGTAAAAGTAATATATTATTATAATACATACTTGTATTATATCGAATTCAATTAATGACACTAAATATCACGTGAATGCCACTGTTCAGGTCGTGGAAAGCTTTGTATTGATGGAATAGCATACAAATTATTATCGCCATCAACCTGAACATCACCATTGACAGCATTACAACGCCAAGTGGATATCTAAACTGGACGGCGACCTGGGAATGGGAAATGGGTTGTGGAATATGGGGATGAATGGGATGGATGGGATGGATGAATATTTCATAGTTGGGAGCCAGCCAGGAGGCAGAGCTGAGGTAAACGTGCTCCACTTCGAGTGCGCGGCATTTGCAGTGGAAAATGCAATTTCCCATCAGGGGGAGGGGACACTGCCAGGCAGGGCTGGCAGGAATGTGTGCATTTGTCTGCCAGTGACTTCGTGGGAGATTGGGCAGATGGCTCCGCCGGAATGCTGCATCCATGTAAAAATATTTCAAACCAACATGGAGTTATAGTACCTTCGTTGCAGTCACCCCGAAAAAAAGTACCCACCACAGCAATTACGTTAATAACTTCCTAAAACCAAATGACTTTCCTAATGCTGCCCCAAAAACCAATTACAGTCATCACTGTCACTCGTTTAACACCCAAAAAAAAAAAAGGAAAATAACGTAAATTTCAGCCCAAGCAAGTTGACTAATTGCCGGCAAAACAGTTTGCATTTTACATAATTTGCAAGTTTTGTCAACTTTCTGTGGCGGCGTTTTAATAGTCGTAGCCGCAGCAGACCCACAATTTGAAGGTCCATAAATTTGCTTCGGGCCAGCTGCGGATGTTGAATGCTTTTTAAATGTATTTATGTATGTATGTCCACGGCAGCCAAACAAGATTTTTCACTTGCATTTCCACCACATGGATACATGGAAGGCGTGCCAAGGAGCGGGAGTAAGGGGCGTGAAAAGAAAAAGTAAAATGCTTGCCGAAATAAAAGAAAACCCAATGTAAACTCACTCGTTGGCGGACACTCGGTCTGTGTCAATGACTTTGAAATGGTTTCAGCGCGAATTTCTCGTTTCGCTTACACATTTCACTGATCGCTGATCCACACAACACCGCAGGTCAGCGCCGTACGTGGACTTTATTAGCAATTGGATAATTGACATAATAAGATGTTCAAATGGATAGAAAGCAGCCAGTCAGTAGTGCTCCGTTGTGGTGAGCATGATCTGTCTGAGCCACTTTCCTTACCTGAATCGAGACACACGATCTTGTAGAGTAAAAATAAAACACTTTTTAATGGGACTTAGTTGGGGAAACCCCAAAAGCTATAAAAAGAACAAAAGGAAGTAAATACTTTGAAGAGTTCAGTTATTGCCTAATATTATATACATATAAACTCATCAAACTTGGACAAGTTTAACGTGTTAATTTATATATCACAAAATTCAGCAAATTTATTTACTAACTTCTTTATAACTTAAGAATTCAACATATTCCTCAGCCAAGCCTCTGAGGCACAGGTACACCATAAACTAAACAAATTACTCTGCTTTATATATAATTCTCAATACAATTTAATACCAATTGATCTTTTAGTTTCCATTTGCAATTTTTAGCTTAAATAATTGATTTGCAAACTCCTAGGGTAATTAATACTGATATCCAACAACTATTTTCATCCAATTGTGACCTGAAATGTGACGCAGATAACATTCAATTCGAAATGCACAATGAAATCATTAAAGCTTAGTTTTCAAGCTCAGTTTGTGAATATTTCCAAGAATATTTAGCAACTCAGAGGGGTTTTCGTTTATCTAAGATCTCAATTGCAGGCTATAAAAAAATATACGATCTAACCCATACAAAAAAAGCTGGTTTCTAACTCGCAATTCATTTTGTTTGCATTTAATAATACTGAATAAATTGTATAGAGGTATAAGTATAGTATTAACCTTAACACTCTGTTGGCCCAGTAATATAATACAAATGTTAAAGATTTCTGAAATTATTTACCATAAATATTTTACAGTAAAGAGAATACTGAATACCGAGAATAGCTGCACCTTCTTTGAGACACGCTTATTTATTATTATTTCCGAGTTAAAGTTCAATAAAAGGGTAATAAAATAGGGTCTAAAAAAGCCCCATGCAAAACAAAACAGGTTAAAATTAGGAATTGTTTGGAGAACAGGTATAAATATTGTCGGAAACGTGAGAGAGAACCTAGTTTTCATTAATCACTCACCCAACGAGATGCACGGAATGAGCTCTCTAACTTTTGCCTTAACCCTGGTCTTATTAATAGTATATCCGGGATGCGTACAGGGTCAGGAGGGTAACCTCTTCAGGTGCAATGTCCAGTACAAATGTTCCGCAGAAAAGGAATTGGTTTGGGCCATGGCCGATGAGCGGTGTCATGTGTTTCACAATCGATGCCTTCTTACGGTGGAGCAATGTGCTCGAAGAAACAGTGGACAATCGGAGCTAATAGAAAGCACAAAGGAGATCTGCAAGCCAAGCTGTGTGAAAAAGTGCCTAGATTCATATGATCCTGTGTGTGCTCAGATCTTCCAGGAGGAGTACATAACCTTTAGCAACGAGTGCGAAATGCGTAATTATATATGCACCAATGAGCGACGTGAGTGACGATACTTATTCCCAAAGGAAGGGTATTTATTAACTAATGGTTTCTATTTCGATCTAGCCTACTCCTATTTTGCCATTGGAGAATGCGTTGAGCAACCAGTTGGGTGAATTACCTATTGTAACTAATTGTATTCTTAAAAATATATATATTATAATAAACAAGAAAGGAAGCTAACTTCGGCACGCCGAAGTTTATATACCCTTGCAGATATAACATCTATGACTTGGAATCTCAACAATATAAATTATATTTATTTGTGTTAAAAAACAATGAAGTTATACCTGCTTTCATTTCATTCACCTATATACATATTATATTTGCAGTTTTACATTCGCAGATTTGCATTTTTCCTCTACATCTAACGATCGTTTGTATGGCACCTATATGATATAGTCGTCCGATTATCATGAAATTTTACACAAAATTTAAGACTAATATAAAATGGCTATACCTCAAATTTGATGAAAATCAGCTGAAAACTAAAAAAGTTATAAATTTAATTGTATTAATTTCTCGATCGTTCCTATGGGAGCTATATGATATAGTAGTCCGATTTTCATAAAATTTTATGCAAAATTGTAGAGTATAGGAAAATGGCTATATCTCAAATTTGATCCAATTCTATTGAAAACTGAAAAAGTTAAAAAATTTTTTGTAAAAATTTTCCGATCATTCCTATGGCAGCTATATGATATAGTCGTCCGATCCAGCCCGTTCCGACATATATACGAGTGAGAGTATATAGAAGGCTAACTACAAAGTTTCGTTCAGATAGCTTCAAAACTGAGAGACTAGTTTGCGTAGAAACGGACAGACGGACAGACGGACAGAAGGACAGACGGACAGACGGACAGACGGACAGACGGACAGACGGACATGGCTAGATCGAATCGGCTGTTGATCCTGATCAAGAATATATATACTTTATATAGTCGGAGGTGCCTCCTTCACTGCGTTGCAAACTTCTGACTGAAATTATAATACCCTGCAAGGGTATAAAAATATAATATATATAAACGTTAGGACTCATTCCAAAAAGTTAGCTGTCAAAGGTTTTCTTTTAGTAAGGATTACCTCTAATATGACATAACTTATTTTGAGTGATAAAATACCTATACTAACTATTATTTTTAAAGGGGTTTTAAGTTTGAAAACACTTGGACTTAAAGTGTCACTCGGACTTCAAAACTGGATTTAGTTTTGTAGCCAAGGAAATGACACTTACTATTCGGTCCCTAAATGCATTTTAACCCAATTACTTTGGAACGCCTTGACCAAAACAGGATTTGCAACGTTGCCATGGCTGCCGTAGATAAATAAAACTCGAAATAAAATAAATTGAAATAAAAGCAAAGCTTGCTTGCACCGCACTGAGGTTTTGCAATCCGCCTCTTTAGAGCTTAACCGGCCAACAACATGTTGCACAACTTTTACGCAGCAACTTTGGCCGGGGCGTTTCAAGTTCAATGTTGCCTGGCTTTTTTTCCAGCTTCCCGCTTCCTGATTAACCGCGATTGATCGGATTTAATTAAGGAAATTTTTTTCTCTTACAATCTGCAATATGCAAAACTCATTTGAGCGGCGGCAAAGAAACTATCTTCAACGCTGCGCCAATGTCCTCGGGGTTGTTTCGCAATTACGCGACGTCCAAGAGAGAGCCGGTTGCAACATTACATTTTCCTTTCCTACAGATTTCCCGCCATCCAAGGGGTTCCAGTTCCAGCCCACGGATTTGCTTTCATTTGAATTACCTTGGGTATTTTCTCATTTCACTCTACATGAGGGTATTTAACGTTTTTTGGGAGGACTTTGAGCCTAGTTGAGAAAACTAGGAAAATGATTTTAAAGTCTTTAAGATTGTCATTATCGGTTAATTTACTAACATTTCCTATGATTTATTTTAAATGCAAATGTCAAGATAACATATAGATCTTGACAATATAAAATCTCTATACATGCTTTCATTAATTTATTAATGCAATAACTAACCTTAAAAAGAGGGTATTTCATATATCGGTCTATAAACCTTTCTTCTTTGATGCATTTTCCATTGAATTTGCATTTATTGTAAAGTCTCTCATCCACTTTTCACCCAATGGATTTGATTGTTTTATGGCCTTTGGCAAATTTACACAATCCCAAGCCGAATAGTTATCAACTTGTCCGAGGAGTCAAGTGCCTTTTCACAGGCGGAAGACATACTGTGTGTATATTTTACCCCAAATCGAATCCAGACTAATGCAAATTTTCTTGGCTAAAAACAAGCTCAACGCCTTGTTCAACGCCTTCGATAATAACTTAATTGATTTATAGCTCTTTCTCTATGTGTGTGTATTTTTCTGGCTAACAAAATATTTAAGATGGTCCCGTTTTTGGCCTTTGTCATTGTGCGGGGGCTGTCGGTAAAATAAAAAATCAAAAACCGGTGCCAAGAATTGGTTTTTAATTTCGCTTTGATAAGTTCAGGTCATTAAGTTTTGATTGTCTCATCTCTCTCCACTAATGACATGAAATTTGAAAGTCAAAAGATGGCATATTCGAAACTCATTTGTTGTGCTCTTTAATTAACAAACAAAGAAAATCGCGTCTTACATTAAAGCTTCCAGTAAAATAGCAAACAAAAATTGCATAAGAAAAACAAAGTAAACATATATATAAAGAAATTTCGAGGAAAATTAGGCGCTTCGTTGACTCAAAGAGTCAGAAAGCAAAAAGGTTTTTGCCGAAAAGAAATTAGGGACAAATTCGTTTTAAATTATGGAAAATTTTTGAGAAATGAGGTAAACAAAATAAAGCTGTCTCCTTTTTACCAATTTCTTTTAATGTTTTAAGCTTCTATGAATTAATGTTTAGACAGATAAATGTTTACAAGCTTTTAATAATTTAATTGGAGCCAAGAGCCTTTTAATTAAAATCAAAAAACCAAATGTTTGATGATACCACACTTAAATATTTTAAATATGGTAAGAATTATTGTTGTGAAAATTGAATATGCCTAAAAAAAAGTTTAATGAAATTCCTTCCTTCCTTCCTTATAAAACGTTCCTAAGCTATATCTATAAAATCATTCTATAAGGAAAAATTTATACTCATCAAAACCATTCGAAAGTAGTATTCTGAAAGAAGCCAAATTTGGCGTCATTGAAGACAATAAACATTAACTTATAAATATTTTATTCTCTACTCTATAATCATTCTCTTTTTGGGTATTTTGAATTCAATGACCAATTTATTAAACTAGATTTTATTTAAATCGTTTGCAATGTGGCCACCACATTGAATCATAAACAAAAACATTGAATAAGCCAACCTGCTGCGACTCCGAACCAAATCTAAATTACCTCACACGACCATAAAAAACTGGGCTAAAAGCAAAAGCCACAAAATAATAAGAAGCGAGCAAAAATTGTATGAGCAAAGATGCCTTTACCAGCAGGGGGTAAAAAAATACACTGTGCTGGCTAAGGTGTAAACTGTGTGAATATTTTTCGGTTATTACACGCATTTTGTTATTATTTTTGGCAAGCAACACGAAGCCTTTGGCCGAATAAAGCCTTAAATGAAAAATGTCAACACATGAGACGATGTTTTTCATGATTATTAAAAACGAGCAAGGGGCGGTTAGAGAGAGAGAGAGGCCCAGGGTGGGGTGCACTCCAAGTAGATGATGTGTAATGCCAACAAAACGCCGCATTTGGTAAGAGACATTCCATTGTTATTGCCATTGTTATTATTATTATTGTTAACTCTGCAACTGTAACTGTAACTGTAACCGAGCCTAAGAGCCACCTCAGAAATTGCTGGCTGATATACTTAATGCAATGATGACGGGCTCGTGCGTAACTTAAGCTAAGAAGACAATTAACTTGGTTAAAACGAAGGCTTGATACCCTAGCTTAAAATGGAGAATATATAATCAAGAAACAATCGATAAAAAAAAATGATAAGATATTGTCATTTAAAGAGATCTATTTTCTTCTATAAACACAAACCTTTGGATAAGGTAATGGAGCTTTAAAAGAGTGTTTCAAACAATGATTTTTCAAGCCCAATTTTAGTTTTGTAATTTGAGATAATATTAAACTTAATAAACCTATGTATAAACTCTAGTGCTTCTTAGTTGAGAAATATATTTCATTAACCTCAAAACCTTTACTTTTTGAAGGTATATATAAATAATAAAAGTTCATTATAAAACAAATTTCTTAGATTAATAAATAACCCGAATTTCCAAATTTAACCTAAAGTATACAACCTAAAATACCCCTTCTATTAAGATTCAAGCACATGTACATATATTCACCCGATGACAGTTGACAGCGTGACATAATTGGGCATTGTTATTGCTTCGAGTTTCGGGTTCGGTTTAGTAAAATTATGTCCCACCTGGCAAGCTTTTGGGCCAAGAAGTGTCGGCATTCGGGTTTAATTAGTGGTCTAATTATCAAGCAAGTGATATATGTATGAGGAGACCGCCCGAGTGAAAGTTTTGCCGGCTGCTGCAACCAAAAATGTACTTTGTGGGCCAGGTGGTGGCGCGTGTTGAATTAAAGCCACAAAAGTCTTAAAAAATCCCAACGCCTGCATAGATGAAATTACTTGGATTAAAGACAGGGCAAACCGGGGGTTGACAAATATGGCTATAAACCGACTGAACCCGTCTCTCTATAGGCTACAGTGCACTTGTTGCAACTGATTGCACAAAATACATAGCGGCATAGCTGAAATCGTTCGCTTTAAAGCAAATAAATTATATATCATCATCATTGGGGATGCGACTCGGGAATGGAACAGGTTGATTGGTTGGTTAACTACTGGAAAGTTGAGGTATTCCATTGATGTAATGATCGCAATGATCAGAGGGAATTTAAGCACAGGGGCTCTTCAATCAAATGTGAAATTTCCTTTCAATCATTGGACTTCAGTGACTTGTCTTGTGGAACTTCCTCAGTGAAGGATAAAGTAACCAATTTACAAAAGTTTGCTACTTAAACAATCAAGAAAGCTCTAGTTAATTGAGCTAAAATGTAAAATTGAATTCACGAGGCTTGTGCAAGAAAACTTAAATTTAATATGGCGAAATGCACAAGAATATGCTTACAAGAAAGTGAAAAATGTAGCTAAACAAATGTTCCTAAGAATATGTAAAATGTTGCTTAA